TTTCTATTCAGAAGGTACATGGGCGACAAAAAAATCTCGCCAATCGCTTCTTACAGAGTTATCAATGTGTCTGATCCTTCCGCATAAGTTGTACCGATTATCATTCTTATAGGCATGCTTATTTCAAAACGAGTTAAATTTTGCGTTTACCTTGGTTCCCATGCTCGGTCAGCTGACCGACGTTCGTCATTGCCTATTTTTTGCGACAGTGGCCATTACGGTTGAAATGGAAGGCCGTGGTTATGGTTAGACAGAGGCTTCAATGCCACGATAAATGAAAACGAAAACCTTAAACATGGCCTAAGGCCAGCAGTACTAAAAGTACTCTCATTTTTCATCACACCGTTAAAATAAATGTGTTAGCTTGCACTTCTAGAAATCTTCGCTGTTACTCGTTCTGCTGTCTGTATGTGCTGTTAATCATTTTATGTCATTCATGCACGAAGTGCTTTTTAATTCAGTTGCCAACGAATGTTTTGAACCCGGCATGAACGATTGCTCAGCAGATGCTATATGTATTGATGAACCAGAATCGTACCGCTGCGAATGCAAGCCGGGCTACGATGATTTGTCAGAAGACAAGGTGCGCTTTCCGGGACGAATTTGTAAGAAAAGTGAGTAGTTGGTTTCCTATTCTTTCAATGTGATGGACAAAGTTGAGCTGGAGGCAAGGAAGACTGAATTTAATTCGTATTATTTTTGTTGTTATTGTTTATTCAAATAATAACTTTCAGCTGTTTGCATAAGCATAGCGTTTCTGGTCTGCTATCCTAACAGAATGCACAGCTTCATAACGCCTTTGTTATAAAGCATAAGTTACAGTATCAATAAAGGGTCTGATTCTACCATATCCCTCCACGTAGCATGTTAGCATTCTGATCGTCGTGTGCCGAGTTTTGGGGACTACACAGGAAGCTAAAAAGGTAGTTTATGCTGAACCAGTTTGACAAGCAGAGCAAACTCATATTTCTTAATCTACACAACTACCAAAGACACTTTAATATGTCACTAATTTTGAATTTAATATTTCTTTAACTTTTGTGAATCGGGATTCAGGTATAACTGCAAATGTCGAGGCATTCTTGCAGGAGAGTCAGAATGTATACACAAGTGATGGCCCTAAAGTAATCTGCTTTTCGCATACCCAAAACATACGCTCCTCCTTTTATATTTGAGGACAAAGTCAAAGGTCTGAAATTAAACTTCCGCAAAAAATCCCTTATTTTGGAAGGCTCTTAAGCTTAATGCTCTATCTGAAAGCTTACAAACTGAAAGTTTCAGAAACATAACAATTGGCTTTATTGTACACTTTTCAAAATTTCTCTGTTGAAAGGAAAATAAGCTGAAACCAGTCTCAAGCACATTAAAATTATTTAAACGCATGTATTATTTTTTAATTTATTCGTTGACTCATTCGTTCATCTGCACAAAAGTTATTCATCTCTACCGCATTGCGGTCAGGCCGGTTTTGTTTTTTCATGTTATTGACAACGGCTGCTCTTTCGCCTACGGCGGTAAGGAATGAAGTGTGTTCACCAGTAGTGGTAACAAAGATTGTCGAAGATCGTATGGTACGCGCGTATGAACAAATACTATATTCTTACGTAAGCTTACCTCAAAAAAGAATCAGATAGCATTAGACATATAAAGTTGAGATGGTTCTTTCATTTGCAGAAAAGTAGTAAGGATTCGCTGTCTCGCCTGCCATTTTCATGCACTGCAAAACATGACCAATGAAATTCCGCTTGTCAGCCCATCATTTGGTAAGGCAGAATGAAGGATATTTTATTATTATTATTTTTTGAAGATAAGGAATTTGTTCATTATTAGAAACAACGGATCACGCCCATGTATGAAAGTGTGAAAAACTCAGACTATCAGATTTCAGGAATCACAACCAGCATGCAGGTTTTAAAAGCGACTAAAGATTACGGTGACATACGATGCCAACAAGACATTCA